GGAAGTTTGAAATGTTCGGGTCCAGTTGTCAACAGTGTGTGAGAAGAAAAGTTGGAGAGAAGTCGAAGACTAAGTGCCTGCAGCCTTCAGTGAAACATGGTGGAGGCTCTGTCATGGTTTCAAGACTTCAAGACAGTGTCCCCAAAAGAATTCCAGTTGTGCTCAGTTCTAAGGGAGGACTGCAGAAGCTCATTTTTTCTGAAAATGTAGTTTTTTTAATATTTCCTGTATTTTCTGGTTATAACTCAATAAAGACACTGAGAAATAAATACAAATTACCATTACAACCTTGCTTAAACAGCAAAACTAATGATGGTCTAAGACTTTTACACAGTACTATATATAAGTATTTATATTTATACAAAAATAACATTGTTAATATATAAGGTCATAGTTTAATTGGGAGCCCTGGAGTGATGCTGCTGAACTCTTGCAGTCCACATCCTTACTATTGTTTCTGTTTAGCATCAAACTACAGAATGCAAAGTTGTATGTTGTACATGTTTAAATTAAAATTACTGTCTTTATATGTAAACAGGTATGATCCATTTAAGTTAAAATTCCTATGCAAGAAAGGCAAGGGTCTTTCTAACATCCATAGGCTGATTTAATTATTATTATTATCATTTTTTATAAGTTTTTCTCTGTCCCTCCCCCGTGGCTTTCTGCAGTCTCCTAATTATCTAAATACACTTATACAGGATTGTTATTGTAGTGAGGCATATTGGCATCAGCCCTCTGAGAGCAGAATGTGTAAAGCTATAGCCATATTATGAGGCATATTGCATAACTCTCATTTAAACCATTTGTTTAACCATATGGAAGAAAACAAAGTGAAGACCTTGCATTCTGTTAATTCCTGTCACATTAGTAGTTCTGTTTTCATGGGTTTCTTATTATAAAATCCTGCACTCTCTTCCATTTTGTTTCTAGAGGTATTCTTGGAAATGTACTCTCTCCAGCCTTATCTGTCCCTCTGTTTCATCTTAAAACATTGTAGTTGGGAGACAGGAACTATCAGTCAGCAGTCCACAAAGTCCTGAGTTCATCTCAGAATGGGCTCTGATCTTGCTTCTACATTTTGTTGCTCTCGTGTAGACATAAATCACTCAGCAGAACACGCTAGCTCATACTGAACTCTTTTACCCTCACAGCCTTGATTCTTCTCCTCAGGCTCGAGGCCATAGCAGCTCAGGTCTGTTCATCTCTCCTGAGTGGGAATTGCTTATTCCTCCAGTGTCACTCTTACCATTCCTTTCATTTGGATTCTGTGCCATCACTACAGTACAACTCACCCTAGATCTCTTCATATGATTGACCTCTATCAGCCCTCAGGTCCACTTGATGTAAACGTGAGTTTAGCAGCCTTTTTTTGTGAACTGCCTGAAGATGGTACAATTTTTTAATTTTCCTGTATCACTTCAGCATTCCCACAGAGAGGATTATTTCATCGTCTTCCTTTGATATTTTCCTTCATAGATGAATTCCTGATGTGAGCATTAGACTTGTCCTTTTCTCGTGTCTTTGACATTTAAGGCCTCTGTCACCCTTTC